TAGCCCATTGTTGTTTAAGTATATCTTTAATAATAAGATTTATATGATGAGCAATACAACGAATAGGAAGTATATATGGATAGACTTGATTAACAAGACTTTTAGCCAATTTCATATTCATAGCACTATCGGTTACAATTCCTCCAAATTTTTCAACACCAATTGTTTCAACAATATCTTGAATTTCCATAGCAATAAATTTTCCAGTATGAGATTGTCTTGAATAATTTCTAAGACTATATAAATATTCTTTTTTATTAGATGTCATTATTAAGTAGGAATAAATACTTTGACCGATTGGGTTAGTCCATCCGTCAAGACCTATAGTATACCAAAAATAGAAATATTATTAATTAATATACTGTATACATTAATATATTATTAATATAAAAATAATTACTAACCAAGAGTTAAATTTTTTTCATTTTCTATTTCATTTTCTATTTTAATAGTAACATTTGCTATTTCACTTTTTAATAAAGTTGTTGATAGATAGTTTCATTTTGGTGGTTCATAAGCTTGAGTTAATTGATTTAAGCATTTTATAAATTCTAAAAAAAAAGGATGTTCGACAACTGAAAATGCAATTCCACAACAAATAAAAAATTTTAGAAGTGCTCTATCGCATTCTCTCTTTTTTTCTAATAAGCTTTCAAGATTATTATCTAATAATTCTTGAAATTCATTAGTACGGGTCTTTTTAGATGCTGGATAATCTATTTCATTATCTTTTGTATGATTTCTTAAAGCTACAATTCGAAGAAATTTTTGTTTGGTTTCAATATCAACCTTTGGACATTCAGTTGCTAAATGATTTTCTAATTCTTTTGGCTTTCCACGTGTCCAAGATTTACCACATTCGCATTTAGCACTATAATGGCCATGATCTTTAGCCTGACCTTTTATAATATAATTCCACACTTCTTTCGGAGGTCTTCCACCTTGTGAAGATTTGATGAAATTTGATGAAGATGAAGAAGCCGAATCCATAGTTTGAATTGAAGAATTTTAAAACACTGTAAGTATTTTTTTAATTTGTTGACTTATTTATTTAATAATTATTGATTACGGTATTTTTTGTAAATTTATTTAACTGATATAACGAATGATACATTAATTTTATAAATTTATTTAACTGATACAATAAATGATACATTAATTTTATAAATTTATTTGAAGTAATCAATTTTGACTATAGTTTAGGCTTTCGGCATTTTTTGACACTTATGACATTTATTTTGGTTTTAGGTACTGCCTATTAGTTTTGGTATGAATTACAGCTTACGGCTCTATTTCTACTAAAAAATCGATGTCAAAATAGTTTCAGCATAGCCGAAATTGGTTTCTACGACATGTATAAGCAGAACCTAAGTTCCAAAAAATCTTCAGAAATTTTGCAGAAATTTGTATTAATACAGACAAAATCTCAACAAATAAAAGATTTCACAAATATATCTAATTTCTAAAAAAATGATCTGGCATTACAATTTAAATAATGTTAGACCAATAGCACTTTTAGAAACTTTTCAAAAGTGTACAACAAAAATTTTGACCAAAAGATTAACAAAGGTTTTCTGTAAAAGGAATATACTTAAAGGGCCAAACTTTGCAGAACTGCCAAAAAATTCAATAAAAAAGCCAGTACATATTATAAATGCAATAATGAAAGATGCCAAAAAAAACAACAATAAGCTATAATTAGTTTTACAAGATATAAAAAAGGCTTTTGATTCAGTATCACTAATTGCTTTAAAAAAAGCAATAAAAAAAATTAAGTTGCCAGAAAAAACAATTTTAATAATATTAAATTTATTTCAAGGCAGACAATCTAAAATAATTATACACTGGGAATACACAGAGGCATTTGTAATAAATAACAGAATTGAACAAAGAAAGATACTTTTACTATTAATATAAAGAGTATTCTATAATTCATTACTGAAAAGTATACAAAATGATGTAAGTTTAGGTTATACAACAGTAGTGTCAATTCCAAATGACAATAAGCTAAACTACACAACAAAGATGAAATTACATCAAGTAGTAGTAGTATTTGCAGATAATACAACATGGATAGCAAGCAATAAAGATCAAATAAAGTGTATATTACAAATTGCTAAAGACTTCTTTAAACTTAATAAAATTCAGATAAACAGAAAGAAATCAAAACTCATTATAATGAATTTAAGTGAACTGAAAGAAAATAGAAAGATTAGACTGAGTAATAAATAGATTTTTGAAAAAGAAAAAACCAAAATAACCAAATTCTTAGGAATTTGGCTTAATAATAAACTTAATGAAGGCCAAATGAAAACAAGAGCCAAAGAATTAGTACATTCTATAGCAAGGCTGCTTAATACCAAAAAGATAACAGGTGCCCAGATATTATATATAAACAATATGTATATAGTGCCAAAGTTGGTATATATGCTTCAAGTATCAAGACTTTTAAAAAAAGCAATAGATACTATACAAGGGTCTATTATAAAGGTAGCTAAACACAAGTTAGGAATTACAAGAACAATAAGCAATAGTGTAATTATTTATAGAAATCTAGGCAACTGCAATGCATTATAGGACCAATTGCTGATTAAACAAATTACAAGTCTGCATATATAAATTAATTCAGCAGTTCTAAAGAAAAACTAACAAAAATTAGAATTAATCAAATGATGCTGCTTTTAGGTGCAACAGTAACAAACTGAGAAAAAAACTCAATAAAAGTTTGTGACAACTTATGAAAAAACAATTTAGCATGTCAGCTTATGCTTAGAGCTAAAAAGTTATGAATATTACTTGATTTTAATAATCTAGATATAAAAAAGACAGATGAAAAATTAAAAATCACAGATGTGTTGAAGAACAAGTTTATATTACAAGTAGCTTTCACATTAAAAAAGCTCAATATATTCTCAATAAACCAGCTTATTAATAAAGAAGGCAATAGAATGATTTTATAACAGCAGTTTAAACTACTAAGAAAAAAATCAAGCAAAGGAAGACCAGCAAAATGGTTCAAAAAAATTAAAGAAACTATACTAACAGACAAGAGCAGTAGATAACTCAAACCAGAATTTACATTACCAAAAGAGAATAAAGAATTATTACTACAAACAACCTTAGACAGGTGCTCAAATGATAACAGGAAAAAAGAATAAATTGTACTAAAAACACCATGAATAGGAAAAAAAGAAAACTTAGTAATTAGAAAAATAGTTGCAAATACATCCAAAAAGATGTTTACAGAACATTGAAAAACAAAACTATATGAAAAAAAAATAGGCCAGTTTTTGAAAAAATGTAATGGTTGCAACTTAGACCAAATTGTAGAACAGAAAAGTTGTAAGAGGTAAAACAATAAAGAAGATATTCAAGGCTTTTTGTCAAGATTTATTAGTAATAAAGAAGTGCTCAAACTCAAAGTAGAGCAAGAAATAATAAGAAAATTATAATACAATAAGTCAATTAAGCCAGGCAAACATAAAAGCCTAGTCAAAGAAATAGTATGTGAAGATTTAGACATAGAGCTTATAAAAAAGCAATGACTTAGTCAAATACTTAAAAAAGAGCTAGATTATAAAAACCAAAAAAACAAACTAGAAAACAATGAAAAGCTGATTTTCTATACAAATAGATCACTTAAGAGAACATCAATAGAAAACTCAATAAAGAGTAATCGCATAAAAGTAAAATGAGTGCAAGTAGATAGTAAAGAAGAAAAAGTAATTGATGAAGATACAATTAGTACACAAAATTGGTTCTCATTAACAAAATCAGAGCTGCTTGCAATCTGGTATATGCTACTAATAACATCAAAAAAAAAGTTGAGATTTATACTAACAGTACAGTAGCAATAGCAGGTCTTGACAAAAGAAAAAAGTTAAAGTTAAGCAAATATTGAATTAAAGAAAAGAATTATAATCTTAAGAGAAGTATACTAGAGTTACTTAGTTTAAAAAAATTAGAATTAGATTTAATTAAAATAAAAGGACATAGTTGTAACAAATGAAATGATAGAACAGATAAATTAGCAAAAGAAGGTAGCAAAATAGATAATTTTGATAGAAAAATAAAGGTGCCACCTTTAAATTCAAATGTTTCACTTTGTTGATAAAATTTAGTGATCAAAAGCCTAACAAAAAAGTTTATCAAAAATGTACTGAAACTTAAGGTCAGAGCAAAATAAAGATTTACATTATCAATTCAAAAAACAGAACCAACATCAAGAAAAGAAGAATATGGCTGATTAACATTATGGCAAAACATTAAGAATCAAAGTAGAACAAAATATACAAGTATGAAGAAAAACAGAAAATTAGCAATATTATTAAATATATAAACAAAAAGCTATTTGTACTCAAGACCTTGGCACAAAGATAACTAGATTTATACAAAAATGCAAGTTGCATACTATGTAATAAAGATCACAAAGAGGATCAAGACCATTTAGCTACATGCAGTAAGCATAAAAAAGGATAGAACTGTACAGAAAATATAGCAATCGATTTAGCATAGACAGTACTTGCAAAAGAAACTCAGAGAAAGACAAGTAAAAAAAACTTAAAAAGCTTTTATAAAGAACCTTAAAAGAAGAAAAATTAGCAAGCAGATTTAAAATTATCAAAGGTCTAATACAAGAAAAAGCCAAACAGACAGTATAAGATATTACACAATCTTTAAAAGAAACCAAGAACTTTATAACTGTGTTCACAAATACAGCATAGAATGAGTTTTTGAAAAAATATAGAAAAAACATTGTAATATTATTATTGATTGGAAAAAATTAGTAAGAATCAATATCACAATTAAAAAGAAAGAGAATAACAAAATGCAAAACCTCTCAAGCAAAGAAATATAAAAAGAAAAAAAAGCTACAAATATAGATAAACAAAACCAAGTCATGAAAAAAAAAAGGAACAAAGTTCAAATTTAGGAAATATGACTTGATTCAGTTTTTAGTTTTGTAAATAGAAATATAAGACTCTTTTTTCAGGATTTTACTAGCTAGCTTGGTATAGTTTTAGGCCAAGAATAATTCTCTGGCCTGTGTGACAGACCGCTCCTAGGCACTTACAGAAGTACTGATGTATGTCAAACCAAAATTTAAGCCAACTTTGTACAATATATATACAAGAATCTTAATAAAGGTAATTAGCAAGACTGCCTAAGTTATAAAAAAAAACATTATAATTTTATAATAATTATATACTTATCTATATTAAAAATTAATTTATATTAATTTTTATTTAATTAAAATTTTTATTATATTAAAACTAATTATTATATTATATATAAAATTTTATTTATAGATTTAATAAAAAATATTGTTTTAAAGTTATTTATAATATTATTATAAAAAGATAAAATAGTATTTTATAGATTTTATAGTCAAGTTCAAAGATGAAGCAAATGTAATGAATTATTATTAGAAAAACAATTATATTGCATAATGTTCTTTAAAAATAATAGAAGCAGTTTTTTGATTTAGTACAAGATTAAAATAATTAATAAGAAGCATTATAAGATAAATATTATAATTTTTTTAAAAAAGAGCTTTTATTAATTGTATTATCTTGTAGAAGCAATACAATTATAGAGTTATTTTATTATATAATTCCAAACTATAGACTTGAACTCTACTTTTAAAAAAAGAAAATTTTATCTTTTTTATAATAAATTGACTATAAGAAAAGCCTACACAAAACTATAACTCTTCTTATTATTCTCAACATTTTTTAACTATTTTTGTTATAAACTTTAACTTCTTTTATATAATCTTTTATTATTTTAACATTTTTATAACTTTCATAGAACTGATAAAAAATATTTTAGTTTTATTATCTTAGAGCCAGAACCTATTATATTGTTTTTAGTTGCACTTCTATTGACATTATCTTACACTTAATCCAAGTAGGATAGGTGGAATCTATGTCTATTCTCTATGTAACAAGTTGGTTCAGATTAATTTTTCTTTATTTAAAAGAGTTCGT